TTTAAGATTTTGAAAGCCAAGAAATACCCAAAAGAGTTTGAAGAGTGCTCTATGTTGTACATTGTTGACTTGGTTGTTAAGAAAAAATCAATAGCCAAGGAAAATAGCAGCTCTAAAGAACAACAGAGGAGGTTGAACCCAATAATGAAGAAGGTTGTGAAGAAAGAGATCATGAAGTGGTGGGATACAGGGCAACTAGCTCTACCTTTTAATTCACAACTAAGGCTAGTTCCTATGAAGCTAAAGTCTAGATGGTTAGGCTCCTTTCAAGTTGTTGAAGTCTTTTTGCATGAAGCTGTGGAAACTCTAGTTGAGCAAGATGGTAGAAAAATCAAGGTTGATGAAAAATGGGTCAAACACTACTAGGAAGATGATAGGGAGAAGGATTCTATCTTCCCAAGAGTGCCTGATTGAAACTGATCATGAAAAAGAAGCAAATAGTCTAGCTAAAGACTATAAACTAAGCATGTTAGATTTTTTTAGTTTTTCTTTTCTGTTGTGTTATCTTTGACTCCTTTATTTGCATGTTTGCTTCCTATTGTCTTAAAGTTAGTTTAAATAGTCTGCAAAATAGCTTTCAAATTAGAGAGTAATGGAAAATTTAATACATTGATATTGTTTTACAGGTGTCAAATGAGAGAGTAAGTTGATTCACCACTGCAGTGAGTCAATTCTAAGTTTGGAGGAAAGTTGGACAACACTTTTCATATCAAAAGATTCAATTCTCAAGTGCTCCCCCACAATTAAGTTGAAAAGGAAGACCAAGAAAAACGAGTGAAAAGAAAATGGTGCAGCAGAAAATTGCTAAAAAAAGAAGAAGAGAAGGATGGAGAATACTCTGAGAATGCTGAATAAGGCCAGAACCTCTTCTGGCCCAGGTTACTTTGTTCCTAATTTTTATTTTTATTTTTGGTAACCTGTTTCTGCAACAGTAAGGACATTGTTCCTCTTAAGTTTGGGGGAGTGAAATCTAGATTTAAATTTTTTTGTGCTAGATGCTTGATGTCTGATGCTGTATAGATAGATGACACTTGTTTTAAAAAAAATTTAGCTTAATTTTCTTTGTTTTGTATATATAAAAAAGAAAAAAAAATCTCTAGTTGGTATTTGCTGAGCTGTGCTTGGTGGTGAGTCGTTGATGTTTTTAGATTTATAAGATGGTTGTTTGTTGTTTATTTGTTTGTCTGAGTATGAAAGGATTAGTTCATGTTTGAAGAAGAATTAGGAGAGTGGATATAGGAAGGATTTACAAGAATTCAACAGTTGTTCAGTGGATTGAGGGCAATGAGATAATAGCATATGGAAATTAAATGCTTAAATGATAAGCCAGAGAATGAAGTTAAAATAAGAGGCAAGTGAGTTGGTGAAAAAGGCCTAACCTAGTGAGGATTTGGGATAAAGGAGACAGAATTTGAATTGATGCTGGATAATTAAGTGAGGCACAATTAAGCTTCAAGATGAAGAGGGCAATTTTTTTGTGATTATTGTAAGGACCCGCACCGTTAAGTTAGGAATTTAATTAATTAATTATGAGATAATTCCATAATTGACCCTAATAATTATGAGAAGGCTTAAATAATTATGGTAAGTGGTTAAGAATGTTGAAAGTCGTTTTTCAGACGAAAAGTGCAGATACCGGCTCTGCTCCTCGGTATAAATGCGTACCGATAAAGTATCCCGGAAAATTATTATAAGTATGGGAATATTCCTAGAATAATATATAGAACTAGTAAAACAAGTTTCAAGTCAAAATAATGAGAACTGGTGCCAGAATGATATCGGCTAAGTAAGAGCGCGTACCGGAAAGGTGCTGCAAAAAATAAAATAAAAATATGACAAATCTTAGAAAAAGGAGTAGGTTCATAATCCTAAGTTTGGAATTAAAATGCTAAGCGTAGCTATTAGCGCTAATACAGTGCGACTAAAACTTAAGTGGCCTATATAAGGCCTTGGCACAGATTTCTAGGTCAGAAATCTCACACTCTACGTGCCTCTCTTCTGAACCTTGAGCCTCCCATGCTTTCCACCCTCTTCCTTCTTGAGAACTCATCAAAGAAGCCACATTTCTTCCATTTCTCTTCATCAAAACACCTTGGGTGTATGGAAACAATCATTGTGAGTGGGAAAGTTGCATCTTTTCTTAGTGTGGTTTCTGTCTTGTGAGAGTGAGTGAGCTGACTTCTTGTCTTGGTGAGGAGGGAGCCTTTTTATTGGTAGTCTATGCTCCAAGAAGTAATCTTTGAAGAGAAATGACCCTTCTTGGTGTGCTATTTTCGTGCACTTTGAAGCCAGCACCTTAGGAGTTGAAGTGAGAGCTCCAAGAGCACCTCTTTGTTCTGTTTTAAGCTTAGGTAAGCTTCACCATCTTTGATCATGAGTTTTAGTTGTTTAAAGGTTGATTCTTGGCATGTTAATGAGTTAGATAAGTAACCAACCTGGTCATGAACCTAAAAGTGTATAAAAATGCATGCTTGGACGTCCTAGTGGGTTAAAAGTTGAACTTTGGGAGAGATATCTCGCAAAATGCATAAACTGCATTCTGTCGCGAAACATCCGGATATGGAGTTGGAAATATCCGGATATGGGACTTGTGATATTCGGATATGGATATCCGGATATGTCCCAGACAAATATCCGGATATTATGGGAATTCCGAGACAGTGACGTTTCTGTGCAGACAGAACTGTATTATGGGTTTATGGACCCATGATTGATTAAGTTGAACTTCTGTAATGATTAACTAAGTCAGAATCTTAGTGATTTAGGGCTTATGGCTTGCAGTGGATTTCCTCTAAAGACATGAAACGTAAAAGGAAGGCGTTGCCTTTATGTCATATGCTTGTAGAGTATGTATATTGATTTGATTGTTGGTCCAAACAGATTGTGATTGTGTTGTGTGTGGACTTTGAGCGGGTATGGACCTTGGATTGGATTGATTGGTTAGAGGTAAGCTTTCGTGTCCTCAGTTTTTCCATTGTTGGTTTCCACCATACCCCATGGGGGAATGGTTTTATGCATGATGTGTTTTCATGTTTTGATAATTGAAATGCTTTTGAGCTGTTAAGTGCAAGGGCCTTATAATATGCATGTGTTGTTCCATCTAGACGGTAAGCCTGAGTATGTGGCGTCATACAATACGGTGATTTTGTGGGTGGGTGCAAGTGGCATCTTGCACTAAATGTGGGTAATAGACGTATATAAATCCTGCATTTCTCTGGCCAGTAGAATATCTTGACACACATGACATGATTATCTGTTGCATTGCACTGCTTTTGGAACTGATATTGTATATTGCATTTAGAACTTATATTGCACATGTAAGTGAGCTTGGGGTGGAGAAATCCTTGAGGACCCCTTGCCTTACTGAGATTTCTGTTTAAAGATCTCACCCCACGTTTGAAGCACTTATTTCAGGTTTAGGTAACCCAGGGGTTAGCCCTCTCTTAACTACAGATCACCAAATCCACACTTTCATTACATCAAGCCATAACCACACCTCACCTCGAATTTCATTGAAACCATGAGCCATCAAACCAGATTTCATATTGTTTTCTTTTACCATATCATTTTTCCTAACCCGTCACTTAACCCAAATCGTGTGAGAAGGAACCAAGGTCTTAGTTGTCATTTTTGGTGAAGTTGTTACATGCGGTGGATGTGCAAACAATTTTTGGGTGGCAAACTGTGGAGGTGATTGTGCGAAAAGGGGTCACACGATTTATGCAAGAGGAGTGTGTGTGGATGCTGACGAACGGCCCAAAGCCCATGCGTGTGTAGAAGGCGCACTATAAATGGAGCAATTAGCACCATGCAGGGGATAGCTTCGTCTTATTTTCTGGTCTTCTTCTTTTCCTCAATTTTGTTTTTGATTAGTTTTTAATTTCTTTTCTGAACACTGTAGCAGAGCTATTTTGTGGTTATAGCTTCTGCATAGTAATTTTCAGTTGAGTTGTAATTTCTTTTTAATTTTTGTTTGTTGTTTTTGTAGCTCAACCCTTATGGGTATAAGCTAAACCTTTTAAGGGTGGGTCTAGGGTACCCGAACCTCAGTGTTGAATGCTTGCTAATTGTTGAAGTTTAATTTTAATTTTCAATTGTTTAATGTCAAGCTTGTTGTTTAATTTTAATTTCTTTCAAGCTTGTTGTTTAAACATTTTGCATTTAGGTGCGATGTTAGATGTTTAATTAGGAAGAAGTCATTGAGAGGTGACTGATTCTGGAAAATGCATTAAATACATGGACTTGAATTAGAGATTATTCAAGAGGATTCACTTCAGAGATGAAGGAACCTACCATGTAACTCTGGACTTGTGATTCAAGAGTCCTCACTGCATTTAGCATAGAGATATGTGAATAAAAGTTGTGGATAAAATGATTTTAAGAGATTAAAATCAACAAAAGTAATCCGTTGGGAACTAAAATTAATCAATGTGTAATTAGCATTTCTTTCAATGTTGTGGGAAGGGTAAACTGAAAGCTCAACCTGATTTTTTTAAATATTTTTACCCAATCTTATCTCTTGCTATTTCTGATTTTAATTCTCTAAGAATTTTCCTTACTGCAATTTTAAAATATATATATATATATATATATATATATATATATATATATATATATATAAAAGCATTTTATTCCAGAAAACCAAAAAGAATTTTAAATTGAATTTATTATTCTATTTTTCTTAAACACAAATCCAAAGTTCAAAAGAAAAATTACTTAGAAAAATAAAATAAAAAATTATAGTTTACAATTATGTTATTTTTCTTTATTATTCTATTTTTTACTTTTTAAAAATAATGTTGAAATGATATTTGGTGTAATTTTATTACTAAAGCCAAGCAACCAATTCCGACATTGCATTTTCGATACGTTTTCGATAAGTTCTCGATACGAAATGTCGATATGCGTATCCAACACGTTGGAAAAAAATTTAAAGAATATCGGTGCTTCATAGAAGCCAAGTATGAGCATATAAAGAGGACAAACAACCATGATCCCATAAGCTAGACCCTGAATTCCAACACTAGCAACAAATTCTTCAATAGTATCTGATGACAAATTTGAAAACTTTTGAGTTTATGCATCCTGGCAATCTTTTCATAAATTCTTAGCATATTAAATACATTTGCCATGCTCACAGCAGCCTGGTCTTGCTCCTGCCTTGTCACACCATAACGCTGCGCAACATTCTCACAAGTGATTCCCATAGGAAGAAGACAATCCCGGGCTTGTGCAAAGGTTTCCACCTGTTAAAATAATGAAAAGACAACCTGCATAAACCATGTTTCGAACGGAAATGTGTAATTCAAAAACTACAACTTCAATGTACCTTTGGGTTCCTGTAATTTTAAATAGATGCTCTAGAGTTACTCAAAGATAAGAGTAAGAACTGGGTTACTATGGCCAAATTTGTAAATATCAGTCAACCATTGAACAATTAAAAGAGCATAATATTAGCCAAATTTGTAAATATTAATAAAAAAAAATTAGTCAACCAAACGTAAACAAAAAATTAAACCATAAGCTTGCAAGATATGTACTATCGGGAGTGGAATTCCAATAATCCATGAAGAAAGATCAACATCAGGAAAGATAAAGAAACAGATCAATTTCAAGCAAGCCAAGTTCCATATGAGGAGTGAAACTAGCAAGCAATTAGATACATTCCATAGACTGTTCACTCAACTGACAAAATATCAACAGTTCAACACCCAAAATCGAAATCTGCATTAACAAAAAAGGACTTTAGTCATCAAAATCAAACAACCAACATAAAATAGTAAATTAAGGAAGAATAATTGTATGCCATATCTGAACATTTTTCCTAATTCCAAAAGCATCCAAATTGGCCATTCAGACCTCATACTATGTGGTAAAATAAGATCAGAACCCAGAAACAGATCTTCGTAAAGAAAGTTAACCAGACAAAACTAAAACCAACATTAATAGAACAAAAGAAAAGATAACCTTCTTAAGGGCCAGAGCTAGACGTTTACTATCAAGCTAGCTATTTCCAGGAATGGAATCTAGGATATAACATGCACAACGAAAGGCACAGTTCTGCAAAGGAAGAGGCATGTCACAAGCTCTGATTTGAATATTATTGTGGAGGTGGTCATGCTGCTCTTGTTTAATTAACATTTACCAAACTTTGTTACATTGGCAGACTCAGTTAAAAGAGCATAGTATTATTCTTGTGCAACCTTAGCAAATTACAAGAGTATGGAAATTGCAACTCTAAAAGAACATACCAGGTGGGAAAATAAAAGTTGTTCACACACAAATGACAAATCAAATACAGCCTGTGCTTGATAATATATATCCTTGCCCCTGTGAATATTTTTTTAACAAAATTGCAAATTTTCACATGAATAGACGTAAGAATAATGTAAGGCACATTGAGATTTTATTATTAATAATGAATAATAATCATAAATAAGATATGCCAATGGTGTGATTGATAGAACAAGAAATCTAAAGATATTCTATAATTCCATTTTTACCTGCCAATTTTACATCACCAAAAATCCCATATTCTCTGTTTAGTGTCAAATGAATGCCATGAGCAAGGTTTCAACTTTCAAGTATCTGTGTGAAGGATTATATTATGGAAGATAGTAATGGAAATGAAGACTTTCACGGCAACTTGAAATGCAGATTTAAAATGAAAATTTCGACAATAAGTAATTGCGTTTGCTTCTCTAGTTTCTCTAAAACCTTAGATGGGAACAACATTATTCAAAAGCAACTCATGTTAGTTCCAAAGCATCGCTAAGAAGGTCCAGAAAAGCAAATTAATGCTAATAAACCCGGATAGTCTTTGAGCTAGTCTGTAAGTAAGCATAGGCAAAGATGAGAAAATTGAAAGCCCACTTAGATTCCTAGGCGAAGTTTCAGGCTAAAGACTAAAATGCTTTGCAATGTTATTGTGATGAGTTCTAACCTTTAGAAATGCAAATGTTGATTCCCCACCAGCAAGTGCAACAAAGAATGTACGAAGGTACTCTGGAAATGTGTATCACATACGTAAACAAAAATCTTAGACTGAAAGATTTTTCTATTACAGCCTCTTTGCAATTATGCAAGGGTAAGGCTACGTACAAGGATTGCCTCCTCCAACACTCGCTAGTCGAGTTTAACGGAGAGTAGTTTTTTTTTTCCAGCACAATGCTTACATAGCAGAACCAACCACAGGCAACTACCTCTCACATAGCAAAAAAGATGGCAAACATTCCACAAGGACTGCAAACGTTCAAGGTTGAAGACGCAAATCAAGTTAAATGCAGTATAACATACAATGTTAATCAAAGTATCTCAAAATAAAACAGTGTTCTAACATACCTTAGGGATTGTGACTCGAAAGTGGTGCAAATCAAATCAGAGAAGCTCATCCACTTCGTTAGATTAGGATGAAAGAAGAATGAAAGGAGTTTGGAGTGTCAGGGTTTGTCGAAATCAAAGAATGAAAATGTGAGTGTTAGGGTTCACAAATCTCATTGCTCACGATTTGGATGGGAATTTTGAATTCAAAGAAAAACGAAATTGGTTTGGGTAACCGTGCATATCCACTTCGTAAAAGAGTAGGTAACTGAACTGCTTTACAAGGTAAGAAGAGGTTTTTGTTCAAAACCGGTTTTTAGAAAAAATGGTTTTTTAAGTATGGACCGGTTTGGATTCAGTTCGGTTTGGATAATATGGATATTTTGAACAGCCCTACTGAAGAGATTTAATTAAGCATCACTCCACATGAATTAGCACACATTTGGGGTAAAATACTAGATCATGAATTTATCCGTCTACAACACATTCAACTAATACTTTATTGATCAACCTTGGAGCAAACAGCAACTCTATAGTTTACCAACGAAACAAAACCCAGAATGGCGTCCCTTTCATAATCCATACACGTCCTGTCTTTGCCCTTCACTAATTTTCAAGTGCAATATCAAGTTGAAAGAAAAAGAAAATCAACTGTCAAAAAGGGTTTGGAACTTCACTCGCCTTTTAACACTACGCATTCGATCATATCCAATACCAATCTTGCTATGCATCAACTTCATTGCCAAATCTGCATTACCAGCTTTCCTCAAGGCATTAATCAGAACAGTACGAATTCTTCCAGGTATTTCTCTACCCCTATCAACAATCCCGTCAGCCAATTTGCATGCTTCCTTCACACGACTGGCTTTGCACAACACATTAATCATATCTTCATAAGCAGTTTCAAGAACAATGCCCATGGGGGCAAGATCATCCAAAACCTTGCAAGCTCTTGCAACCTTACCCGAAAGACACAGTCCAATTGAAAGAGCCCTAAAAGAGGCAACATTTGGTGTCACACCTTTGTCAATCATCATGTCCCACATTTTTAAGGCCTCTTCATTCCTATGCTCTTTGAAGAGCTCACTGATAATTATAGTATACGTATAAACAGTCTGCTCACAACCTACCCTCTCCATCTGCTTAAACCACGCCAGACCTTCGTCAATCCTCCCACACTTGCACAACCCATCAATGAGAGCATTGTAGCAATATGAATCCCTCATGCATCCCTTCTCTTCCATTTCATCAAACAGCCTCTCAGCTTCATCCACTCTCCCTGCCTTTCCAAGCCCATCAATCAGACTCGAATAAAACACGGCGTTAACCGCAACACCATTGACCCTACAAAACTCGAAATAGCCCATGGCTTCCTCAAGCCTCCCACTCTTACACAAACCATTAACAACAGCTCCATAAGTAACCTCATCCGGCTCGATCCCATCCATCTTCATCCTCTCAAACAACCTTAAAGCCCCATCCATATTTCCAATCTTAGCATAAGAATCAATGAGAGCAGTATATACAGCCTTATTAACTCTACAACCTCTCGAAATCATAGTCTCAAACACATTACAACCTTCAACAACTTTCCCCTGCCTACACAACCCACATATCACTAAACTATAAGCATGAGAAGGAACCTCTAATCCCTTATCATCCATCTCATGGTAAAGACTCAAACAACAATCAACATCCCCTTCTGTGTAACAAGCTTGCATAATTGTCATATAAGTAACCTTATCAGGCTCCACATTTTCAACCTCCATCTCTCTAACCATCTCCAATGCCTTGCGCGCTTTTCCAACTTTGCAATACCCTTTGATCATTGTATTGTAAGAAACCACATCTGGCTTCATCCTTCCCTCCTTCATCGCCACGAAAACCCGGTCAGCGGATTCTACGAGTGCCGAATTCACCAGGCCGTTGAGGAGGAAGTTGTAGGTGTGGAGGCTGGGTTCGATGCCGTGCTCTTTCATTGCACGCCACACCCAAAGCAACTCCTCCACTAAACACGCGCCGCCAAAGCTCTTGATGAGGGAATTCGCAGCGTGGACGGTCATCGGGAGCTGCTTTCGCCGCATCTCCGTGAAGAGGTCGAGGAATTCCGGTGATGCTGCGGCGGTGGGGACGGAGAGGAGGACGTGAAAGAGGGAAACGTAGCAGTCGAGGGTGTGGGAGTAATTGTTCTGGTTTGAAGCCCAATGGAAGAAGCGCGTGGCGGTGTTGGGGGATTTGAGGGAGCGGAGCGCGTGGGCGACGAAGTTAGGGGAGAGTGTGATGAGGAAGTTTCGGCAGAAGGTGTCGAGGTTGGACTCCATGGAGTGGGAACCGTCGAGGAGGTTAAGGATTTGGGTGAGCCATGGGGAAGGTTGGAGTTGCTGAGTGGAGGAAACGACGTCGGAGAGGTCGCAGAAGGGTTCCACCAGTTCCGGGCGAGGGAATGGGTATGGGAGTGATGTGGTGGAGAAGGTGCATGGTATTCCTGTGGGGATAGAATTGGCATTGTGTTTGTGGCTGTGTTGGGTTTCAGGTCGAAGGGTACAGGGAGTGTGGATCGCTGCTATTGAAGGAGAAGGTCGTTTCAGAAGCAGAAAGCGGATTCTTCTCATCACTCTGCGTTGGGGATTTTCAGAGAAACGTTTCGTTTTTTCTGTTTTCCACTCTGCGTTTTGGATGACAAATAATCACATCACCTAAAATAATTTGTAATGCAATCTTGAGTTCTTACCTTGTAAATAATCTACCAATGGACATATTTTTCATGATTGAAATCACCTAATGGCAAGAAGTTTAACCAGTTTTAAATCACATGCTTAATAGTTGAAATAGCTGCAAAGTACTCCACATGACAAATAAGCAGTTAATTGACTTGGCTGTCAGGGGTGTTAACGGGTCTAGCCGAGCTTTGGTCTTAAAAGGTTAAGTCTGTATTTAAATGTGTCAGTCTAATCAAACATGTTACCTGTTATAAATAAAGGGGTTTGATTTTCTCATGTTAAATGAGAATTCAATTCTCATGTTGTAGAGATAAAAAGCATGTGGGACCCATGTGTTAGAAAAAATTATATGTAGGACCCATGTCAGCACGAAAATCGAAGGGTGTGTAGGAAAATTTGAATTCTTATGTCAAATGAGAATTATAAAACCCATAAATATAACTATCGGTCTGTGGCCTTGCTTATTTATAAAAAATAAAAGCTTTGTTTAGCCTATTAGCCTGTTTAAAAAAATAAGACAATATAAATTTATACAAACAGAATATACAATCAACAACACTAATAATTTCATAAATATTCATAAATTCAATTTATATCCAAATAACATAATATAAAACAAAATCATTCAAAAAGTCCGTTTAACCAATAAAATGGGGTGAAATAAATTCAGGAGAAAGAGATGGCTATTACAAGTAGTATAAAAAATATAAATATAAATAAAAAATAATATGCTAGGCCTGAGAGGCTTTAAGGTCGAATTTTTGAATTAAAGTCTGAGATCATTTTATTAAACAAGCTTTTATACAAGTCCAAGTCTGGTCTCAACAACCAATTTTAGACATGTAAGCTCATGCCGTCATGTACCGAGCCAAAGGCCCCCTGATTTGTTTAGCACCCCTACTTGCTGGTAAACTAATATGAGACCGAATAGCCATAATTTAAAAAGCTATAACATTATCATGATAATCCTTTTAAATTACTGTAAATAATAAATAGAATAGTGTAATATTTATTTTCTTTTAATTAATGAGTTATTAAAAAAACAATTTATTTATAGAAAATTCAAAAAGTAATAGGTCAATCCAATGGAGAATTAAAATTTATTTTCCACTTAAGTAGAAAAATATATATTCCAACCACATATTTTGAACATAATTGAATTGGTTGCGTGTAGAAGAGATACACAGGACTGTTTAAAATTATTTTAAAAATTTTCAGAATATAAATAGGTACCTATTAATTCTGTAAAAAAAATATTTAAAAAAAAATTTAATTAATATAACCCCTATATGTGAGCAAATGTGTTTTGTGTGTGTTCAAGTATATGTTAATGGGTAATTAATGTTCTTAATGTTTGAAAATAGAAAATGAAAGACACCCAAACACCCTTGTCTTCATCATGTTCCTTCCTTTATGAAGGAGGCATTTCAGTCTTTTTATTCTAACACCTATAAGCAATGGCTTAGCCATATTCAAGCCAGCCGCTGCCAATACACCTGCTTGTTTTTTTTTTTTTACTTATTATATATATTATGTAATTAATTATAATTAACTAAGGTAAAAATTATAATTTGACATCACCTAAATAAAAAATCAAATAGTCAATACAAAGTAATAACTAATCATCTAAATGCAAACAAATAATAAGGAACATATATAGTATAGTTGTTTTTATGTTTTACCTTTTTTATTTTTTATCTTGTGTATATTTTTTTTCTGCTTTATTCTAATAAGTTATGTTATTTATTCTTACTCCTATTATTTAAAAAAAAGAAAGACTTCTAAACTTAATCACAAAAATGATTAGTTGACCTATTTCAAAATTTGGGCCCAACTAAACCAAATATTTAAAAATAGGAAAAAAGGTTTGTCCTTTTAAAGGACACATGATTGTATCCTTTTAGTTTTTGACACTATATCTTACCGGTAAAACATAATTATAATATGAAAAATTTCTTTGTTTTCTATTTCCTCAGTCACTTCGCTGATGTGGATAGAGAAAAAAATAACTTTTCATGTTATAACTATGTCTTACCGGTAAGACATAGAGTTAAAAACTAAAAGGATACAATTTGTCTCCTTTAAAAGGACAAACACTTAACCCTTGAAAGTAACAATCATGAAACCAAATGAATAACAGGACTATAATTATGGAATATAAAGGTCTGTTGAACTATTGTGTTTTGGGTTATTGCACACACAAAGAATAGTCAAAAACCTAATTCCCAAATGTGAGAACTTTCCATCGTCCTTATGGAGGTTGCAAAAAAGGGCGATGTTCTCTAACGTGAGATATTGAAAATTTAAGAAATAGAGATAATGAAAGAGAAGACGAAGGACAATGCTTATTATACATATAATTATTATATTTGTATGTTTTCATATCCTTATGATAATGTTTGGTTCATTACTTATTATGTTGTGGAATGAAAGTGAAATTCTTATGTTTGAAATGTTTACCGAAAAGGTTAGTGCATTTTTATATGTTTGCTTTTGTTATGGACCCATATGATGGGCCGATTAAATAATAAGCCCAACAAAGGGCAATCCAAGATATGGATTGATGCTAGTCAAATCCTACCAATCTTAGTGTATCAGGACAGCTATCCACTTGATGTGTCAGCATAGCTATCCAAACTATCTACAAGTAACCTCTATAAATACCAAGGCAAAACCTAAAGGTACACACATTCTTTCTCTCATTGTTATGCTGTCATTGTGCACACACACATACCCCATTGGCTAACGCCATTATAGTATTCTGTGCACAGTGATCTCCTTGACTCAAGGGTATCTCCCTCATAGATACCTTGGAGAGGGCATCAGATCCGATATTAACGTACTAGCCTAACTGGGCTAGACATCTCTGTCTCAAGGACAGAACATTGGCGCCGTCTGTGGGGATTCTTTTCTCTGAATTTGAATCTGAAGTTCCCACCAAATCTGACAAGGGATGGCAATCCAGACAAGGAGCAGTACCCAGCAGCTACCCCGAAACCAAAATCAGTCGTTGGATCCAGTCATTGAGGAGATAAATCAGCCTCATAATCAGATCGGAAACAACGTGGATTACGATCATGTCTAGGTCGAAGACGATGTTTCGGACACCGCTTCAACACCGGCACCCTGAAATGGGGGAGCTGCAGCGAATGTAGCTCCAGTAAGGAGCAACCCTCCCCAGCATCCTGGCGATCTAGCTCCACGCATCGCTCAATCGGCCGATCCAGATACTCGGTTGGCCAACAACGCATTAAACGCAATTATGGAAAGAATAGCAGCGTTGGAAACACATACAAACTTGCAACGGCAACAAGATTTCAGGGCTATTCGAGAAGAAAATAACAGAGGGATGCAAGACCTGGAGCGGCGATTAACACGGCGGACTACGCCAGGAATGACCAATTTCGAAGGCCAGCCTGCCCATGGCCGAGAAGGACCTAGAAACCCGGCTCAATCTTACCAAGTTCCTCATGCAGAAAACCCTGGTAACCTGCTAAACCAGGGGCACCAGGTCACTGATGGCCAGGATGCACAAAATCATCAAGCACATGCTGACGGTCAGGAGGACCGGGTTAGAGCTCAGTATCAACAGGATATTCAAAACATCCGAGGACGAGTAGAACCTGGCGGATATAGGAGGAAGTACAGCGGGGGGCAATATAATAATAGCCCATTCACTACTGAAATACTAAATGTTGTCTTCCTAGAGGACTTTGACTCGGTACGTTTACCGAAATATGATGGGAGCCAAGATCCGCAGGTGCACATAGATGCCTTTGACACGGATATGTATATTCGGGGAATTGATGAACCTCTCATATCCCGAATATTCGCTGTAACATTGACAGGGGCAGCGCAGGCATGGTTTTCAACCTTGCCTGCTAATTTCATCGGATCCTTCGAGGAGTTCGGACAGAAGTTCTTGCTGAACTTTGCAACCAGCAAGAAGCATCCAAAGTCTGAGTTCGCTCTTGGAAAGATACGACAGCAACCTGGAGAAACCCTTCAAAAATACCTTAACCGGTTCAAGGACGCTGCGCTGCAGGTCCCAGGGTTGCAAGAGAATGTCCACGTCCATCTCATTGTTGCAGGTCTGGACGGCGGATCCAGACTCGCCAAGTCGGTCTATAAGGACCCAGTAAAGACATTGGAGGAGTTTAGAACTCGCTCGAAGAAATACCTTGAACTAGAACAAATGGAGATTGCAAATGCGCAATCTGATGAAGTCAACAGAACAAGCCCGAGAAGGAAGAGTCCACCCCCGAAGGGAAAAGAACGAGTTGACAGTAAGAAGAAAGATCAGCGCCAACGGATCCCGGACATGAGAGAACACATTGGAAGGTACGATAAGTATACACCTTTGAATGCGTCGCGTTCTCAAATTTGGAGAGAAGTAGCCACGACGGAGATGAAAAAGGTGGAGAGACCTCGTCCCATATTTGACAGAGGAGAATTAGATAAATCCAAGTACTGTGCCTTTTATGATGGGCCAGGTCACACCACTGATCAGTGTTGGGATCTCCGAGACGCGGAGGAGAAGTTTGTGAGAGACGGTAGATTACGTCAATATGTGATAAAAACTCAAGGTTCCAAGAAGAACAAAAGGAAGCTAGGGAACAGGAACCGAAGCAAAAGCCCCGCTACTGAAAAGAAGAACAGACAGGATAAGAATTAGAAAAATGATCCCAACTATGACGAATTCCCCGAAGCGGAATTTGATTGTAATGTGATTAGTGGAGCATTGGGAGGTGGAGGAGATACTGTAAGTGCTAGAAGAAAGTACTTGAAAGAGGTACTCTCCATTCGTGATCGTCCCAAGTTCTAAGAAGACTCAACCAAGCCAGATCCACCTCTGTTATACTTTACCAAGGAAGACATGTGCGGTGTGCTGCCCGGTCATGTTGACGGACTGGTAATCGCAGGGACCCTAGTGAACTGCCGGGTCAGGAAGATTTTC